GTCAGCCTCTCTGCTCCTATGATGCTGCTTGGCCTGCTGTGTTCATCTAGCCCTGCACCTTGTTGTCTCGGATTCTCCAGCATCTGCAGTTCCTACTATCTTTGAAAATGCTCCAGTTGTTCCAACAATGTTGACTGAAAATGAAAAATGCTGGAAATCACGTCGGGTCAAACAGCGTCCGTGGAGAGACAGCAAGCTAACGTTTCAAGTTTAGATGACTCTTCATCAGAGCTTTCCCTGCATAGGTACTGTCTGACCTGCTGTGATTTGCAGCACTTTTTGATTTCAGTACAGATTCTAACATCTTCAGTAATTTGCTCCTATATTCCAACAATGTTTACTGAACAAGGGGTCACTGTTAACTCTGATTTCTGTCTACAAATGCTGCCAGACCTGCTGAGTTTTTCCAACAAATTCTGCTTTTGTAATGTTTACTGCTGGTTGGTCAATCCGTTATCTATGCTACTACATCACTTCCAACACTATTATCTATAATCTTTACCCCTTTACCTTTCCAGGTGTGCCGAAAGGTCTGCAGTGAAATTTCAACTAGTTGCATAGTGCAGCCTTGGAGAGAGAAAGACTGGGTAAAGTGATATGAGGAATGAGAGGATCAAATTATGAGGAGAGATAAAGGGGATGTGTGACATTCCAACCCTCCACCTTCACATAGGTTCAGCCTTGGGCATGCCTTCATAACAGGATTTGCAAATCCAGGCTCTCCTGTCTGAGTTTGCATGCTGTAAAAACATTCTAAGATGAATCCTGCTGCCCAACTTATCTTATTTTATCATCAGAGCAATGCCTAACATCAGGCAGAGAATGATCTGTGTTTAATCCTTGCTCCATGTCACTCAAGTTTCTCTTCTCTTTGGGCTGCCAGGTCTTCCTGGTGATTCCAAGATTGTTCAGGTCCTGGAGGAGGAATCCCGAATCCGCCTCTCACAGTTCAATCAGAAGGATATCTCCATGGTTTTCAGCAGCGTCATGAAGCTACATCCATCCATTGAGCACCCATTAATTGAAAGCTGTCTCACAGGCTTGGAGAAGAACATTGAGAAGGAACGTCACCCCCAGACCCTGTTCCTCTTGCTCTCCTACTACAAACTGAAGGCTCAGGCACTGCAGTCTGATGGTTACACCAGCGATCAGCTTCTCAACAACCGTAAGATACTGCGATTGGTCAAGCACACACTGGGACATGTCACCAATGTGAGAGACCATGAGATGACCCTCCTGGACGAGATGCTGGCTACATGTGCCCGGGAGACCAGCAACAAATCACTGGAGCTGATCTTCAGCTCTCAACTCTTCTATGAGAACAGGCAGGAAAAGTTCATCAATAGCTTGGCAGGTAGGGTGCAATAGACTTCAACCTATCAGACTTTAACAATCAACCTTTTCACAGATGGTATTCACTTCATCCAGCATTGTACGTTAACTGTTATAACTCGTGATAACATTTAAACCAGTATGGCATTGAAGTGTAACTGGTAGAAGCACATTCAGTGGGTAATCCATCATAACACTGTTACTGGTATAAATACGGAAAGTATTTAACCCAGCTTTGTACTGTAATGTGACAGTGGATAAGCAATGGCACATATTTAAACAGTTCATGAAGGAACTTCAACAATTGTTCATTCCTGTCTGGCACAACAATAAAACTGGAAAGGTGGCCTGACCATGGCTAAGAAAGGGAAATTAGGGATAGTATTCATCCAGGAAAAGGATATGGAGGATAGTGAGATTTGTGTGGAGCATACGAGTATGCTCGGGAATTTTGAGATCAAGAAAGAATTGGTGTCGATTCCGTGAAGAGCATTAAGGTGGATAAGTCCCTAGGGCCTGATGGTATCTACCTCAGGTTATTGAGAGAGGCAGGAGAGGAGATTGCTGGGGCCTTCCCTAGATCTTTGTATCCTTGCTAGCCACTGGAGAGGTCCCGGAGGACTGACGAGTAGCTAATGTTGCTTTACTGTCCAAGAAGGGGAATAGGGATAATCCAGGGAACTACAGACTGGTGAGTCTCACATCAGTGGTTGGGAAGCTATTGGAGAGAATTCTTAGAGATAGGATTTACGCACATTTGGAAAAGCATGGCCTAATTAGGGTGGATCAGCATGGCTTTGTGCAGGGCAGGTCATGTCTTACTAACTTGATTGAATTTTTCGAGGAGGCAATGAAGGTGATCAATGAGGCTGGAGCAGTGGATGCTGTTTACTTGGATTTTGGTGAGCCTTTCGACCAGGTCCCTCATGATAAGCTCATCCAGAGATTAAGATGCATGGCATCCATGGTGACTTGGCTGTGTGGATTCAGAATTGGCTTGTCCATAGAACACAGAGGGTATTGATGGAAGGGTGTTTTTCAGGCTGGAGGGCCGTGACTCGTGATGTTCCGCAGGGATCCGTTTTGGAACCTCTGCTGTTTGTGATATATTTAAATGACTTGGATGAAAATATAGTTGGGTGGGTCAGTAAGTTTGCAAACGATACAAAGATCGGTGTAGTTGTGGAAGGTGTCATAGGATACAGCAGGGTATAGATCAGTTTCAGATATAGGCGGAGAAATGGCAGATGGAATTAAATCCTGGTAAGTGTGAGGTGCTGCATTTTGAGAGATTAATGTTAAGGAAAAGTAATGGCAGAACCTTGAACAGCATTCATGTACAGAGGGATCTTGGTGTTCAAGTCCATAGCTCTCTGAAAGTGGCCACACAAGTAGATAGGGTGGTAAAGAAGGCGTATGGCATGCTTGCCTTTATTGGTCAGGGAATTGACTACAAGAGTCAAGATGTCATGTAGCAGCTTTATAAGACTTTATTAGGTCACCTTAGAGTATTGCATTCAATTCTGGTCACCACATTACAGGAAGGATGTGGAAGCTCTGGAAAGGGTGCAGTAGAGGTTTAGCAGGATGCTGCCTGGATTAGAGGGCATGAGCTAGAAGGAGAGGCTAGAAAAACTCAGGTTGTTTTCTCTTGAGCAGCACAGGCTGAGGGGAGACTTGATAGAAGTATATAAAATTATGAGATGCATAGATAGGGTTGACAGTCAGAGTTGAAATGTCTAATACTATGGGCATGTATTTAAGGTTCGAGGGGAAAAGTTCAAAGGAGAAATGAGGGGCAAGTTTTTTAATCCGGAGAGTGGTAGGAGTGTGGAACGCACTGCCAGGGGTGGTGGTGGAGGCATATAAAATAAGGGGATTTAAGACACTTTTAGATAAGCACATGAATATGCAAGGAATGGAGGGATATGGATCAAGGGCAGGCAGAAGGGATTAGCTTCATTTAGCGTCATGTTTGGCACAACATCATGGGCCGAAGGGCCTGTTCCTGTGCTGTACAGTTCTATGTTCTATTTGATTCCAGGAAGGACATTCAAATTGGCCAAAACAAGTTGCAAACCTGAAGATTGGGAGTATATAGATTTCAGCAAAGGAGGATACAGATTGGTAAAGAAGGGGGAAATAGAGTACAAGAGTAAGCTTGTGGAGAACATATGAACGGATTGTAAAAGTTTCTACAGGTAAGTGAAAAGAAAGATTAATTAAGACAAATGTAGGTCCTTGACAGGTGAAGTTAAAATTCGTAAACTAATTAAATGCATATTTTGGTTCTGTGTTCACAGAGAGGGCACAAATAATGCCCCAAAAATATTGGGGAATACAGGGTCTAGTGAGAGGGAGACTGAAGAAAATCAGTATTAATAGGGAAGTGATTTTGGGGAAATTGATGTGATTAAGGGTTGATAAATGCCTAGGGCCCAAAAATCTACATCACAGAGTAATTATGGAAATGGCCTGAGAAATAGTGGATGCATTGGTGGTCATCTTCCAAGATGCTACAGACATTGGAACAGTTCCTATGGTTGAATGGTAGCTAATGTAACCCCTCTAATTAAAAAAGGAGTTAGAGAGAAAGCAGGGAATTGTAGATTAGTTAGCCTGATGTCGGTAGGAGGGAAACCACGAGTCCATTATAAAAGATTTTAAAAGCAGAGGATTTGGAAAACAATAGCAGGATGGATTTACAAAAGGGATATCGTGCTTGATGAAACTACTGGAGTGTAACTGGTTAAAGTGATAAGGGGAATCCAGTGGATGTGGTTTGCTTGGACTTTCAGAAGGCTTTCACTCATGTTCCCACCTAAGAGCCCACACCTGGAGTATTGTGTGCAGTTTTGGCCTCCCTACCTAAGGAAGGATTTTCTGGCTATGAAGGGAGTGCAGTAAATGTTTACCAGACTGGTTCTTGGCATGGCAGGACTGATATGAAGAGTAACTGGATCAGTTCGGACTATATTCACTGGGGTTTAGAAGAATTAACTGGGACTTCATAGAAACATATAAAATTGTAACAGAAATAGACAGGGTAAATGTTGGAAGGATGTTTGTGATGATCAGGGAATCCAAAACCAGAGGTCACCACCTAAGGATACTGGGTGGCATTTTAGGACTGAGACGAGGTGAAATTTGTCCACTCAGTGTGGTGAGCCTGTGGAATTCTCTGCTACAGAAAGTACTTAAAGCCAAAACACCGTTTTCAAGAAGGCATTAAGTATAGTTCTTAGAGCTGAAAGGATCAAAGTATATGGTGAGAAAGTGGGAACAAGGTACTAGGTTGGATGATCAGGCTTGGAGGGTTGAACGGCTTACTCCTCCTGTTTCATATTTCATTATTTCTGTCTTGAATAAATCCAGACTGTGTTTAACTGGTTAACTGGTAAAAATGCAGATAGTGTTTAATCAGGCACTTTGTCGTAACTAGGATAACTATGGACAGTGTTTAATCCGGCACCACATAGTAACTGGGATAAATATAGTAGTGCTTAATCCAGCACCACAGTGTAACTGGTATGTATACAAAAATGTTTAGTCTGTCTATAAAACCCATCTTATTCATTCTGTGTTTGGGACCCATGGTCATGCATTAGAGCAGGTAACTGAATGTTATGAGTCTCCCACCCAGTGACACCCCCAAGCATATGTTTTGGCAGAAAGTTACTTTCTTTTGTAGCTCTTCATGATCTAATTTTATTCCTCACTTAAACCACATCAGTGATGAATCTACCAAACCATTTTGTGGTTCCAAGGTTTCAGTTTTACATTTACTGACCTGGCCTTTGAACCTTGCTTAATGCATAATCCTGTGCACGGGCAGCTCGATATTTAGTCGGCTGTGAAGGGCTTTGCAGTTGGGTCTGTTTGTGTCTTTTCTGGCCGTAATTGCTTGTGAGCTTCTCAGCAAAGGTCAGGTGTGAGAATCTATTATTTCACAGGGACTGTGGGATCCTACTGAGACATTGAACTGACAAAAATTCCAGCCTCTCATATGAGGGCATTTCTTTCTCTTTTAGAGGAACTCCCAAAGAAAGTGGATAGCATCACCCCCTACACCATGGCACTCATTGCAAAATACATTGCGCGTCATCGACTGCGTGAGACCAGGCTTCTGGACACGATTGCAGAGTTCCTCATCAAAAAGGGTGAAAACCTGGACAGTAAGGTAATTGTTTATAGCTTCTTTAACATAACAGAAAGCATCTTTAGGGATTCACAATGTTGGTGTTTGGGGTCAGCATTGATTGAGGGGATTGAAAGGAAAATAAAACAACAGCATCTTGCATCTATATCGCATCTTTAAAGTCCATTAATTGATCCAAGACACTCCATGGGAGCCTTTTATGCAAAGTTTGGGTCTGGGTATAAGGGGACTTTAGATCAAATACTTGTTAAAAAAGTCAGTTTAAGGGAATGTTTTAAATGAGAGCGAACCAGAAGAGCATAGAAATGAGAAACATGAGTAGGCCATTTGAGCATGCTCGGCCATTCAGTAGGATCACGGCTGATCCTCTATCTCAATGCCATATTCTGGCTTTCTTCCCATACCCCTTGATGCGTTTAAAATCCAGAAAATTATTCTCTTTCATTTTTGAATATATTCTGTGATTTGGCCTCCACAGCCTTCTGTGGTAGAGAATTCAACAGGTTCGCTACCATTTGAGTGAAGAAATATTTCCTCATCTTTGTCCTAAGTGGTCTACCTCATATATTAAGACTACATCCATGGCAACTCACCAACAAGTGAAGGCGTCCTCCCTGCACTTAGTCTGCTGGGCCCTGTCTCAATCGGATCCCCTCTCATCCTTCCAAGCTCTAGTGAGTACAGGCCCAGTCAAACCAATTTCCCCTCACAGGACAGACCTGCCATCCCTGATATCTGCCTATTCCACTCTCTGTTCCTGTCTGTCAACCAAGTCTTGATCCATGCCACTGTATTATCCTCTATCCCGTGTGCTTTAACTTTGCCATGAACCTCTTATGAGGGACCCAATGAAAAGTTTCACAAAAGAGAGATTTCAGGAGGGAGTTCGAGACCTCAAACTCTTGACAGCTGAAGGTGCAGATGCCAGTGATCAAATGGTCAGCAACACGTTTTATGGTCAAATATGATATCAAGATTGTGAATGGTCTGGTTAACCTCAACAGTTACCAGGGAAAGGGATGGAGTTACGAGCTGTGGTATGGAGTTTGTAGCAGATTTGAAAATAGTAAGCTTTGACATTTTATTGGAGGAAATTTCTGCACATCCAGTGCAAATAATAAGACAACTGAGAGATAATGAAGGTAATGCTGAGTTAAGTAGTTACAGGGGATATGGGGGGTGTGCAGAATAGTTAGAGGGAGTCCCTGGCAGGTGTGAATATCTAAAGGGGTGTCCGGAAGTGTGTGACTATTTGCAGAGGGTCCCTGGAAATCCCTGTGTGTGATTATTTACAGGAACTGAAGCTGCTGTCATCGATTAATAGCCTGATATGGGCACTGAACCTGGGTCCTCAGGTTAATGTGGTGTTACAACTTATTCCTCCCAGCTGTGGACTGTTGAAAGTGCCCAAGCTGCATGTTTGAAACCATATATAACAGTGTTTGACTTTGAGTTGTTTTGTGTTGCAGGTAATTCAGAAGCTTGTCTTCCCGTTTAGTCGTATGAACTACAAACCTTCCAATGAAGCCAAGTTTTTTGCAAAGCTGGAGTCGGTGCTGGAGGTCAAAGCCATGAACTCACCCTTGGCCACAGTCAATATCTTCATGTCCATGTTCCAACTGGGACATTTTCCAGGAGCCATACTTGACAAAGTCTTCTCCACTGCTTTCATCAACAACGTGATGAGTATGATTTTCCTTCTTTTTCTTATTCATTCACGGGAGAAGGATGTCGCTGGCTAGGTCAGCATTTATTGTCCATCCCTATTGCCCAGAGGGCAGTTCAGGGTCAACCACATTGCTGTGGATCTGGAGTCACATGTAGACTAGCCCAGGTAAGGATGGCAGTTTCCTTCCCTGAAGGACCATAAACCCCATAGGATCAAAAAAAAAGTCTTTACTCCAGGTGGTGTTGGGAAGGAGGGCCGACTCTAGAGGAGGTGATCTTCTCAAGGTGGCATTATCTCAAGCACTGCAATATGGTTAGTTAAAACAATCTAAAAAAGCAAAAAAACATTTAACCCATGAGCCCCACTCCATTTACTCCTTATTTGGTCACCCAATCACAGACTGTCCCCATCAGTACTATCTCAGTTGAAATAACCTTATTTGGTTATTCTGTCATGGACTCGCCGATAGCTTCTCAAGGGCACTTAAGGTGGGCTAGACATGCTGACCAAGCCAGTGATGCCCACCTCCATTTATAATTTCACAGAAACATCTCACTGACTGCCCTGGAGTTCTTACACTACCATCCTGTTGTGGACATCACATCATTGCCTCATGATCCCTAGAGTGAGGAATGCTGAAATTCATCCCCAATCCTGGGACCTTGTGAATATTTGTGCAAGTTCCTCACTCTGGAACTTGAGGAAGAAGATGGTACGGTGTTAATTTCATTGGATTATTAATCCCTGGTTAATGCTCTGGGGACGATGGTTCAAATCCCAGCATGGTAGCTGGTTGCAATTAAATTAATTTACTAATTCTGAAACTGAAAGCTAATCTCAGTCATAGCAACCACAAAACTATCATTGGTTGTTATAAAAACTGAATGACCTTTGGGAAAGGAAATCTGCTATCATTGCCTTATCTGGCCTCCATGTGACTCCAGACCCACAGCAACATGGCTGACTCTTAACTGCCCTCTCAAATGGCCAAGCAAACCACTCAGTTCATGGAGGAATTGGCGTTGGGCAACAAATACTGGCCCTGCTGGTGATGCTCATGTCAGATGAACAAATAAAGAAAAAAATAATTTTGGGAATAATTGTGTGTAAATCCTCTCTCTGTGAGTAACTGTGCAATTTTTTTTATTGTGGGACCCTGAGAGTAATTGTGTGAATCCCAAGAGTAATTCCAGTTATTTGCAGTGTTTTCTTTGTTTTTTCAGACAGTCCATATGGGTTGATTGTTCGCCGATATCTATCCCTACTTGATGCTGCAGTTGAGCTGGAGCACCATGATTACAAGGGGCCTCGACTGGAGGACAGATACAAAGTGATGATGTTTGACCGCGTACTGACTGCAGATGAGGTGAACAGGAAATACAGGTCAGTGGTCATTCAGAAACCCACCAGGAACACAAACCTTTTCCAAAATTTAATTATTAATGAACCATTATATTGTCATAGACTCCCTCTGTGACAAAATGACATGAAGGAAAAGTCTACTTTGCCATCTAAATGGATTTTCAAGTGAGTGACGAATCAGTGTCAGCTTAGAGAAAAATTGATATAAGGACACAAAAACAGTGACTGTTGGATATGGTCATTTTTCAGGTTGTAGGAACATAGGAACAGGAACAGACCTTTAGCCCTACAAGTTTGTTCCAACATTCAATGATATCGTGGCTGATCTGTGGCCTAATTCCATAACCTGCTTTTAGCCCATATCCCTAATTTATGTGCTTAACAAAAATTTATCTATCTCGGATTTAAAATTAACAACTTATCTGGTATTCATTGGTGGCAGAGAATCCAAACCTCTCCCACCCTTTGTGTGTAGAAGTGCTTCCTAACGTCTCTTCTGAACAGTCTGTCCCTAATTCTCAGACCGTGCTCCTTGTTCTAGAATCCCCAACTAGTGGGAATAGTTTATATTTATCTACCCTGTCATTTCTTTGTTAATATCATGAGGATATTGGTTAGGTCACCCCTTAATCTTCTAGATTCTAGAGAAAACAGGCCTGATTTGTATAATCTCTCCTCATAATTAAAGTTCAGATTGGAAGATGGTAGACAGAGGTGTTCCATGTGGGTCAGTGCTAGGGGGGCAGTTTTATTTCAAAATTTTCTGATGATACCACAGTTGATACCTGATGGACAGTGAGGATGATCTCAATTGACTGCAGCAGGATATAGATTGGTTAGTAGAATGGGCAGACAAGTGGTTGTTGGAATTTAATCCAGAAAATTGTGGAGTGATGCATTTTGAGAGAAGGATTAAGGATCACCTCTATAGACTGAATGACACTTTTCTAAAGAGTGTGCAGGGTTAGGGATCCCAGAGGCATAGAGTTTTGAAGACAGAGGCAGTATTAAGAGAGGAAAGCTTATTGGACCTTGAGCTTTTTAAATAGAGTTATCCAGTTTTTCGGGATCGAAAATAACTACTTCTTCTCCAGTTAAATGGGTTCTGTAATGCTGATAAAGTCAGTGATGCCAACTCTGTCTCATGCAGGGCAGTGGTGTTTGAAGGGTCAGGCAAATGGAATGTTTGGAGGTTTGTGTTCCCTCTGAAGCTTCAACTTTGCTTCTGCACATTCTGAATGAAGTCTCTTCCTGGATGAACTTTCTCCATCTTGTTGACCAAATCGCAGGGTCTTCATTGAGTCAGTAGATATGTTTGACTTCATCAGTGATGTTTTCAGGACACCCCTAAAGTGGGATGATTAGAAAATATCTAACTTTATCATTGCCATCAAAGCCAGGGATTAGCCCTGACAACAAGGTGCAGGGCTGGATGAACACAGCAGGCCAAGCAGCATCATAGGAGCAGAGAGGCTGACGTTTCGGGCCTAGACCCTTCATCAGAGAAGGGGGTTCTGAAATAAATAGGGAGCGAGTGGGAAGCGGATAGAAGATGGATAGAGGAGCGGATAGGTGGAGAGGAAACAAACAGGTCGAAGAGGCGGGGATGGGGCCAGTAAAGGTGAGTGTAGGTGGGGAGTTAGGAAGGGGATAGGTCAGTCCAGGGAGGACGGACAGGTCAAGGGGGCGGGATGAGGTTGGTCGGTAGGAGATGGAGGTGTGGCTTGAGGTGGGAGGAGGGGATAGGTGGGAGGAAGAACAGGTTAGGGAGGCAGGGACGAGCTGGACTGGTTTTGGGATGCGGTAGGGGGAGGGGAGATTTTGAAACTTGTGAAATCCGCATTGATACCATTGGGCTGCAGGGTTCCCAAGCGGAATATGAGTTGCTGTTCCTGCAACCTTCGGGTGGCATCGTTGTGGCACTGCAGGAGGCCCAGGATGGACATGTTGTCTGAGGAATGGGAGGGGGAGTTGAAATGGTTCGCGACTGGGAGGTGTAGTTGTTTATTGCGAACCGAGCGTAGGTGTTCTGCAAAGCGGTCCCCGAGCCTCCGCTTGGTTTCCCCGATGTAGAGGAAGCCACACCGGGTACAGCGGATGCAGTATACCCTGGTTTGTTCATTTGTGGGACGTGATCACCATTGGCTAATTGCCTTTGGGGAGGTGGTAGTAAGCTACCTTCCAGAAATACTGCAATGCATGTGGTGCAGGGACCCACACGGGGCTATTAGGAAGGGAGTTCCAGGACTTGAATGCAGTGAGAATGAAGAAATGGAGAAGACAATGAAGACATTTCCAAGTCAGGATGGTGAGTATCTTGGAGGGAAAACTTGAAGAGGCCGGTGCTCACATGTATTTTTTGATTCATTTGTGGGATGTGGATATTATTGTTTGGGCTAGCATTTATTGATCTTCCCAAGTCACTGGTGGAAGGAGTGAATGTTTAGGGGTGGTGTGGTGGATATGGTGCAAATCAAGCAGCCTGCTTTGTTGAAGGTTGTTGTTGTTGTTGATGTAGATGGTGGATGGCCTTTGGGAAGCCTGCTGCACTCTTCATTGAACCAGGGTTGAGACCCTGGATTAATGGTAATGATTGAATGGGGAATATGCCAATGCCAGACCCTGTGTAGATTGTGGTTAGAGGAACTGTGCTGTTGCTGATGGCCCACAATGTCTCCTGGATGACCAGTTTTCAGTTGTCAGACCTGTTTGAAATCTATCCCATTTAGCATGGTGATAGCGGCACACATCTGCCCTTCTAGCTGTTAAAAGTCATTAGTTTGGGAAGTCTTTCAAAGGAGCATTGGTGAGTTTCTGCAATGCATCTTGTAGATGCATTTGGGGAGGCAATGGCCTAGTGGTACTATCTCTGGACTGACAAACCAGAGACCCAGATAACGTTCCGGGGACCTGGGTTTGAATCCTGCCATGGCAGATGGTGGAATTTGAATTCAATAAATATCTGGAATTAGGAGTCTAATGATGACTGTGAATCCATTGTTGATTGTTGGAAAAACCCATCTAGTTCACTAGTGTCCTTCAAGAAAGTAAACTGCCATCCTTGTCTGGTTTGGCCTACATATGACTCCAGACCCACAGCAATGTGGTTGACTGTTAACTGCCCTGTGGGCAATTCAGGGTGGGGCAATAAATTCTGCCTAGCCTGCAACACCCTCACCCCGTGAATGAATAAAACAAAATGGTACACGTTGCTGCTGCTAAGCATCATGGTGAAGGGAGGAAATGTTTGGAGACGCAATGCCAATTTAGTTAGCTGCTTTATCCTGGATGTTGTTGAGCTTCTTGAGTGTTGTTGGAGCTGCAGTCATTCAGGCAAGTGGAAAATATTCCACCTCATGTCTGACTTCTGCCTGGTGCATGGTTGGCAGGCTTTGTGTTTGTAGCAACAGGATTTATACAGCTGCTCCAGTTAGGTTTCTGTCAAAGGCAGCTCTTAGGATGTTGACGGTAGGAAATTCATTGATTGTAATGCAGTTGAATGTCATGTTAAATATGTTGATTACCTCTGTTGGGAATGCATAATCCCTAAAAATTACAGTGTGAAAGAAATTGGAAGAGATGGAACTGTTTAGACAATTTCTGGATTGGAGAGGATTTGCAGTATGTTTTCTTGAACAAGTAGATGTTGAGAATGTGTTTCCACTCTTACTAAGAATCTCAAACTATTGGATGTAGTTTTAGAATAAAGGGAAATTTATCTAAAACTGAGATGCGAAGGAATTTCCTCTTGTAGAGGGGAATAAATATCTAAATTCTCTATCTCGGAGAACTGTGGAGGCTTGATCACTGAAAGTAATTAATGGGCAGGTAGATAGATGTTTGAAATATCAATGAGTTAAGGACTATGACAAACTGGCAAACAAGAGAAATTGAAGCCTGGGCAGATCACCCATGATCTTGTAGAATGGTGGGGACAGACTTGAGGGACCTATTTCTTAAGCAAATGGAGCAGAAGTAGGCCAATCAGCCCATATTGTCTGATCTGATAAATCTCAGCTCGACTTTCCTCCCTTTTCCCCATAACCGTTGATTAATCCCCACCCTCCTGCCTTTTCCCTGTAACCTCTGAACCTCTTACTAAACAGGAACCTATCTATCTCTGTCTTAAATGCAGTTCCATAGCCGCCTGTGGCAATGAGTTTCAACAAGCTGTGACTGAAGAAATTCCTCCTCATCTCAGTTCTTGTATTTAAAACAAGAGATAGATAGGTTCTTGATTAGTAAGGGGATCAAAGGTTGGGGAAGAAGGCAGGAGAATGGGGTTGAGAAACATATCAGCCATAAGCGAATGATGGAGCAGATTCAATGGACCAAATGGATTAATTCTGCTCCTATACCTTATGCTGTAATGGATTCAATTACATATTAAAAATCTGTCTATATCAGCCTTGAATATACTAAATGATGCAGCTTCAACAGCCCACTGCAGTAAAGAATCTCACAGATTGATTACCCACTGAGATAGAAGAATCCTTCCCATCTTAAATGGGTGACCCCTTATAAAATTTATATAATTACACTCATCCCAATATTAAACTTTAACCAATCAATCAATCAACAGTCTTGTGCGGTAACTCAGAAAACTTTACTCAGGCTAAAAATAATATCTATTAAAAATATCATACCTGATGCAGGCCCAGTCTGGCAGATATATCCTTCAAGACCCAGTCAGCTCACTCAGTACCGGAGCTTTTTCAAATTCATTCATGGGTCATCAGTGGTGTTGGCGAGGTTAGCATTTGTTGCCATTCCTTGAAGTGATTCTGTATACGATACCTTTGAAGGCAATAAGTGTCCATGAAGTTCTGCAAGATTTTAATGTATATACCAATGGATAACTTAATGAAAATTCATGCCAAGTTTTAGAGCACAGAAGGAGGCCGTTTGGCCTGACATACCGATACCGACAGTTTGAAAGAGCTGTCCAATTAGTCCCAATTCCTGCTCTCCTCCCAGAGTCATGCAGATTTTACTCTTTCGATTTCTGCTTCTGTTTCCTATTTCTATTAACCTCCCATAGTCATACAAGCTTTCCCACAATTTGCAATTTCTTTAAATCTGGCCTCTATCCGTTCTTCTAGCTGACTGACTACTCAGGGCTGTGTAGTCAATCTCCTATAAACCAGGTACTGGAAATTCCTGGTTGAAACCTTCCTGCTTTTGGTTCATCCTTTTGATTCTGATCATTATCCTACATTTCCACCATCAATGTTAAATTACAGAGTGTGGCTTGTGTTGCCAGTGCCAAGATAGCTGGCAAAGATGGCTGCCTGCACAGATGGCTGTGGTAATTCCACACTGTCACAAAAGAAACTCTTGACCATTCACTGGATGTCCAGTTAGCCCTTCTGTCTCTCCACTACCACCACCCCTCTTCTCCCCCCCCCCCCCGCCGACTCTCCCATTCTGCTGTCCCTCTCAGCCCAGCCATCCAGCTTATCATTTTGCTGAGGGAGTCGTGAAGTCAATGAGGTGGTGGGTGAGGCACCAAGGGTTTTTTCTCAGCTCATTGGTCTTGAAATGTATTAGAAAACCATCAAGCTGCTACATGAAATAAAATATGAAGTTACTGCACGGGTCTTGTGCGTTCAAAGGAAGCAAAGCTGCCTCCCTACATCAAACAGCCTTTTATTTGTGACCCCTCTGTGAAAGGCTTTGATGGATTTCTCTCTGAAAGGTGTAATATAAATGTAGGTTGCTGTTGGTTATCTGCTGAGCTGAAAATGACTCTCACTATCTCACCTATTGTGTTTTCCAGTTACAAAGGGTTGGTGGCAGAAGCTTTGAGACAGCTGATTGGAGATCAATGTTACAAACAGGATGAGGTACTTCCCCCAGGGTATTATACAGGTAATGACCTTTCAATGAGCACTCTTCATGTTTTAATGCACTGCATCACTTAAGGAATAACTTGTGAACTCTGCTATCCCTGTATTATTATACGTAAATTGCATAGTTTATATAGATTTAATATTGGTTCTTTGAAGTTTGGGTTAGCAATATAGAGGTTTTCTGTGTGTCTGCAGTTACTAACTAAGTTGTATGCATTTCTGTAGCTATGGAGATTTCTTCTAATACAGTTGGGTGAGATACTTTGGCAGCAGTAATGGGTTTTTCACTAACCAAGGAAACCATCTGCAAATGCTGGAAGTGAAACAAAAAAGATTTGCTGGAAAAACTCACCAAGTCTGACAACATCTGTGGAGAAAAAGCAGAGTTAATATTTAGTGTCCGGTGACCCTCTTTGGTATATATGCTGACAATGGGGTAGGAGAGAGGAGAAGAATAAACAATAAGTGGAGATGGAGCCCAACAAGAGAGAGATAACAATTGGACAGACAAAGAAATGAGGAAAGGTCAGTCTGGGAGAATGCATAGCTGCTAATGGGGACCAATAGTGGCTGACATTGGGTTGATCCTGGACAAAATTGATAGTCACATGGACAGATTTCTAGGTGTATATCTGCACAGATTGTTAAAGGTGGCAGAACAGGTGGAGAGAGCAATTAATAAAGCATACAGTTCCCCTAGCTTTATTAATAGGGACATAAGAGTGCAAGAGGAGAGAGGTGAAATTAAACTTGTACAAGACCCTTGTTAGACTGCAGCTGCAGAATTGTGTACAGTTCTGGGTGCTACATCAAAGGAAAGATGTGAATGTTTTGGAGAGAGTACCGAAGCAATTTAAAACAATGGTTGTAGAAATTCGAGACTTCTGTTTTGAGAATAGATTTGGGAAATTGAGACTGTTAATCTTCTGTTCTACAAGAAAAAAGATGAGGTTTTAAAGAAGTATTCAAAATCATGAGTCTGGACAGGTAGATAGGGAGAAACTGTTTCCATTGGTGGAAGGATAGGCAGTGGTGTAGTGTTAATGTCCCTGGACCAGTAATGCAGAGCACCAGTTCAGGGAATGTTGATTTGATGGTGAAATTTGAATTCAATTCTGGAATTTTAGAAAAAGTGCTCATCTAGTGGCAACCATCTAACCAGTTCCAAAGAAGAGTCTTATTAGATGCAAAATTATTTGCATTCATCTGAACAAGGAGAGAAGAATGGGAGAGACGACCTTGATGTAAAATCTGAAAAGAGAGATGGACCCTCCAGCAGTGGGTTCTCACTTTGATCTCCAGTTGGCGTTAAATGAATAGTTGAATCTTTGTTGAGCTTGGGAACGAGCAATGTTAAAGATGGCTCATTTCTGATTGCCACTGTGTGATTGTATGATCCTGTCACACAACAACCTTGTATGATTTGTCTGAGAATGAGATAGCATGGGTTGTGATTCCATCCACAGTTGAATTGTTTGTGTCTGTAGAATGTTGGGAAGACCACACCTTGAATACTGCGTGCGGTTTTGGTTTCCTTATTTAAAGAAAACTGTAAATGCATTGGAGGCAGTTATAGGGTGGGGATGGGTAGGAGAGAGTAGGGCCACCTGCTGGATTTCACAAATCCCACCTTTCTCCTCTGAACACATCAGCAGTCGAATGTAAAACCCAGCCCAGCATCTCTCTCTCTATCCTATCAAACCCCTTCAGCATCTTATATGTTTCTGAGATCAGTCTGCTAGAACCCAGAGAATGTAGTTCCTGTTTACTCAACCTCTCATTGTAGGACAAATCTCTTATCCTAGGGACTAATTTAGTGACCTTCACTATACTGTCTCCAAAGCAGGTGCAACCTTCCGTAAATAGGAAAATCAAAACTGCACACAGCATTCCAGATGTGGTCTCACAACAGCCTTGTTGAACTGTAACAAGACTTCTGTATTCATCTACTCCAATCCCCTTGAAATAGGGGTCAACGTTCCATTTACCTTCCTCATTGCTTGCTGTAGCTGGATGCTAAAGTATTGTGTTCCTTGTGCACACCAACATTTACAAGTTTTGTCTGATCATACTGGGATTTTCTAAGAGATCAGCTAAGATTTCCTATAAATTTGAACTAATAGTATTTGGGCTCTCAGTCCAAGATCTGATCTGCTCTGCTACTGTCCACTTACTTCACATCCTCACAATGGTTCATACTGTTTGTGTAATGTTCATACAGAAAGAGGAGAGACCTAAATTTCTGGAACTGAAAGTCTGAAATTTGATCATAGATTGCAATGTTCTTCCCCTGTCCCTCAACAGTGAAGTGCTTGTAGTGGGGGTGAAGATGTGGATTGACTGAGTTAGATGCTGTTATTTACATGTTCTTTGTTGCTCGTTTACAGATTTCTTGCTGTGGATAAATGGTTCTGGCACTGTTCTGCATATTAATGGGACGATTCACAGTGCTGGCACTCCTTTGTGCCCCTCTGGTTCCAATTCAAAACCCACAGAGAACCCAGCTTCCATCCACGCTCAACCTGACATCCCCTCACTCATCTCCGATTTCCAGAAATTCTCTCCCTTTGGACGTGATGAGGTGATAGTGAAAGAGAAGAGAGATGGTGATCTTCCAACGGAAGTGGGTTTCCTCACACACATCCAGCCTGCAGTGAGCAGTGGACGTTCAGGCACAGCCTCTGTCTTAACCAACTCAACCATTGCGTATAACGCTTATTACCCTCCTTCGAACTACTACACTAGCCTGACCAAGGAGCAGTCACTGGAGAGTCAGGACAGCTCCACACTGAGCAGTCCATCTGACTGTTTAAACCAGGCCCCTAACACCACTGGCTGCTCACCGGTCATTGGCTCCAGTTCCCTCTTTCAGTTCCCCATCGAAAAGATCCTTGATGAGGAAACAGAATCACCACCCCAGAACCAAGAGCACAATCTCTTTAGACCAGAACAGACAGCTCCAAATTTTTACAACAGCCCCCATTACACGGAGGGCCAGGGCAGCGTTGGGCAGGTGGACATGGCGAACCCTGTGCCACCGTCTCTAAACCAACCGTCGCTGATTGAGAAACAGAGACATCTGGACACGGAGCAAGTGAACAGGTAAACACAAAGGGGAATGAACTTGGCACGTCACTCAGTAGAGGTGAGCTTGGCATGAGTTTGATTCTTATCTTGGACGGAATATAAAACCTAGGAATAAAGGACTTGAGGAAGATATTCGAGTATGAGAAAAATGCAATTAGGATGGAAATGTACGATCAGATGGTAAAAGTTTCAAAGGCATTTAGCAAGGGAAAAGACTAAATAAAGTGGGTCTTCGAGAGAATGAGTCCAGACAGTTGAGAAGAAAATAAGGAAATGACAGAAGCATTGATTAGATTGAGTCATGGAGTTTTTACAGGATGGAAAGAGGTCTTTTGGCCCATCATGTCCACGCTGGTCATCAAACAACTATTTATCCCAGTCCCATTTCCCAGCACTTCGCCTGTTGACATGTATGCTATTTAAATATTTCTGAAATGCCTTGAGGGTCCCTACCTCAATCATGCTTGTAGGTAGTGAGTTCCAGATATCTATCATCATCTAAATTAAAAATAAAACTATCTTTAAACAACCCTTCTCAACCTCCTGCTTCTTAACTTAAAACTGTGCCTCTGGTATTAACCCCTCTACAAAGGGTAAAAGCTTCTCCCTATCTAACCTATTTATGCCTTTCATAATTTTGTACACCTCAATTAGATCCCCTTCCCTCAGTCTCTGCTCAAATGAAAACAACCCTATCTTATCTAGTCTCTCTTCATAGCTGAATTGCTGCAGCCAAGACCATAAGAAATATGAACAGGAGTAGCATGTTTGACTTCTCGAGCCTGCTCAGCCATTCAATAGAATCATGGCTGATCCAACGTTTTTCATGGCCACTTTCCTATGTTTTCCCCATAACCCTTGATTCATCTACTGACCAAGAATCTATCCATCTCAGCCTTGAATATACACAAGGACTCTGACTGCTTGGCTCTCTCTGGCAAGGAGTTCTAAAGACTCTCAGCCCTCCAAGAGAAGAAATTCCACCTCATCTCTGTCTTAAATTGGTGCCCCTTTATTTTGGCAACATTCTGGTGAATCTCCTCTGTAACCTCACTAGTGCAATTATATCCTTCCTGTGGATAATTTGTTTCTGCCTTCAGTGTAGAGGATACAAATAACATACCAGAATTAATTATAAAACAAGAGGTGAAAAGGAGGAAAGAACTTAAAACAATTACAGTTACCATCATCGGGAAATGGAGAGGGATGTAAGTTGGCTCATTTGACTGGACAGCCAACGGCATGGATTCAGTTCCCACTCAGCCAAGGTTACTATGAAGGACTTTCCTTCTCAACCTTTCCGCTCACCTGAGGAGTGGTGACCATTGGGTTCATCGCTCTCTCTAATGAGAGAGCAGCCCAATTCTGTTAAGACCACGGTCACTTTACCTTTACTGGGAAAAGTATTAGAATTAAAGGCTGATGATGGAGTTGAGATTTCTGCTGTTGTGTGCCTTCAGTCAAAACCCCCCAGATCCTGATGGACTTCATCCTAGGGACTTAAAGGAAGTGACTACTAGGATGGTAGATAATTGGTTTTAGTTTTCCAAGATTCCTTAGATTCTGGAATGGTCCCATCACATTGGGAAATAATGAATGTAAGTCCTCTCTTCAGGAAGGAGGGTGACTGAAAACAGGAAACCAAAGGCCAGTTAGCTTAACGTCTGTCATACAGAAAATACTAGAATTTATTGTTAAAGAGGTTATAGTAGGGTACTCAGAAAAAAAAATTAATGTAATCAGACAAAATCAACATTGTTTTGTTGAATTTAGTAGTGTTCTGTGAGGAAGTAACAAGCCATGTGGATAAAGGGGAGTTTGTGGATGCTCTATAGTTAGATTTCCAGATGGCATTTGACAAGGTGGGCCAGTAACAACCATAAAATGGACAGCGTATACAAGAAAAAATATTGGGCACTTGTGGTAAAAGGACGGCAATAATTATGGGTGACTTTAATCTATATAAACTGAAAGAATCAGACTGCTTGTAATAGCCTGGCCAAGGATTTAATAAAATGCTTTTGCGATAGTTTCTGAGACCAGTACATTTTGGGTCAAGTCAGTGAGAGGGTTATGTTAGACTCAGTATTTGTAATATGACAGGATTAATTAATAACCCAGAGTAAGAACCCAAGAAAAAAAAAATGCCCAAGCCTTCAACTCCTCTTTTGTGCCTGCTCCTCATAGCCCTCAACTACTTGATGTTTCCAAAATCTATTGACCTCTTCTTTAAATACTTTCAGTGATCTAACCTTCATCACTCTCTGAGGTAGAGAATTCCAGACATTCAACTATCTTCTGGGAGAAGAAATTACTTTGTATCTCTGTTTTGAATGTGTCCCTTTTTATTGTGTAATTATGAACCCTAGTTCATGATTCCCCCATTTGTGGAAACATCTCAATCACTGAATCCTGTGGTGCAGAAGAAGCCCTTCAGCCAATCGAATCTACACTGACAAAAACTGCTCCAAATCTATACTAGTCCTACTTTGCAGTACTTGCCCCATAGCTTTGCATGTTATAACATTTCAAAATGTCAGACTTGCCAAAATTCAATCACATTTGTTAGGCATGACCTCCCTCTGAAAAAGGTATACTGACATGTACCTGATCAGATCTTGCCTTTCCAAGTGGAGATTCTGTCCTTCAGAAATTACTCCAATACTTATCCTACTACTGATGTGAGACTTGCTGATCTGCAATTCCCTATTTATCTCTACTCACCCTTGAAAAGTGGAACCAGATCAGCTGTCCTTCAGTCCTCTGACATGGCACCGTTTTTTCCTGACAGTGTAATCACCAAAGATCCTTAGACTACGTTTTCCAAACCCACAACCACTTCCATCTCGAAGGACAAGGACAACAGATGCATGGAAACACCAACACCTGCAAGTTCCCCTCCAAGCTACCCACCATCATGACTTGGAAATATATCGTTATTCCTTCACTGTTGCTGGGTCAAAATCCTGGAATTTCCTCCCAAATGCCATTGTGGGTCAATCCACAGCAAGTGGACTGCAACAGTTCAAGGCAGCAGCTCAGTGCCACCTTCTCAAGGGCAACTAGGGATGGGTAATAAAATGCTGGCCAGTCAGCAATGTCCATGTTCCACAAGTGAATAAAAAAAGTTTAAAATTTCACCATTGTATCGGATTACATTTGTAAGTCAGATGTTCTTAAATCAGAGACGTTCAATATAAAGAAATGTCCTACCATCCATAGTTAACTGAAGAATTTAGGGAAAGCATCAAACGTAAGGAAAAGCATATAATTGCACAAAGGTGTGTAGCAGGTCAGATGTTTGATCAGAATTAACATTCCCTCTAATCTGTGGTTGATGTTCCTCACACACCACCTGTTGTACCAACATGTTGACTTCAAGTTTTGGAAGTTGCCACCACGCATGGACCTCGGAGGATTGTGCACCAAGAAAAAAACGTTTGAAGGTGTCAGATTATAAAGAACAGCAAGGAATGGCTAAAAGTAGTCAGGAGAAAGAAATTAAGAAATGTATGGGAGACAGCTAGGAATGCAAAAGCAGAATAGCAAGAGTTTTTCCAGGCATTTAAAAAGGAAAAAAATGTAAAATGTGTAGAAAAACAGAAATTGCTGGAAAAGCTTAGCAGAACTGAGGAAGGGTCACTCAACCCGAAATCTTAGCTCTAATTTTTCTCCAAAATGTTGCCAGACCTGCTGAGCTTTTCCAGCAATTTGATTTTGTTTCTGATTTACAGCTACTGCAGTTCTTTCAGTTTTTATGTAAAATGTGTGTTGGTCCTCCAGTGAGTGAGAATGGGAAGGTAATAGTAATTAAAAAGGAAATGGCAGCTGAAATGAACAAATATTTTGCTTCATTCTTCACTTTCAAGGATATAAAAATCATTCTAATAGTAATTGTACATCGGGGGTGGAAGGGACAGAGGAAATCCACTGGGAGTAGTGGTACTGAGCAAACTGAGGGTACCGAGGAGTTGCAGGCTGTTAGATCTCCACTTCCTGATCAGCTTCATCTTAGGATCTAAAAAGAGATCGCTAGTGAGGTATGGAATGTGTTGGTGTTAGTTTTCCCAAAGTTCCCTGGATTCAGGAAATGTTCTATCAACTGGAAAGTAGCAAATATAACCCATCTATTCTAGAAGGGAGGGAGGCAGTAAACATGAAAATACAGACTGGTTGGCTTGATGTCTGTTGTATTGAAGTGTTGGAATTAATCATTAAAGAGAGTATAACTGCACACTTCAAAATCTCAAGGTGATCATAAAGACCCAGGATGGTTTCTTCAAAGAAAAGTCATGTTGAACCAATTTATTGAAATACTTTTGAAGGAGTGATGTGCTGTGGATAATGGAGAGCGTGTAGAGATAATTTGGATTTTCAGAAGGCATTTAATAAGGTACCACATCAGGGAATACTGTGGAAAATAAAAGCTTATGATGTATGGGTAACATATCAGCATGGATAGAAAATTAGCTGGCTGGCAGAAAACAAGAGTGTGTGTGTAGATGGGTCTTTGTCTGATTGGTAGGATGTGACATGTTGAGTCCTGCAGTGGTCTGTGCTAGGGTCTAAACTTTTTATGTCAATGAAGATGAATGGAGCAAAGGCATGGTGGCTACATTTGCAGATGCTTAAATGTATGGTTGATAAATGTGCCGACAACTCCAAGATAGGTAAGAAAATAGGTTGTGAAGAAGACATTTATGAAGATTGTATGTATGGTCAGATAGAGATCTATAGATTTATTTTAAATGTGTATAGTTAGATTTGAGTGAATGGGCAAAAAGACTGGCAATAGAGTGTATAATGTGGGAAGAGTGAAGTTGTTCACTTTGGCAGGAAAAGTGAAAAAAAAGCAAAGTATGGAGCAAGGCTGTAGAACTCCGAGATATCAAGGAGTTTAAATGTTCTAGTGCATGAGCTACAAAAAGTTAAGAATGTGGATATAGCATATTATCAGGAAGGCTAATGGAAAGCTGTCCTTTACTGCAAGGTCATCGATGAAACCACATCTTGAA